ATTCTGCTCTGGTCCTTTTTACGTTATCGTATTCAGCTTCCATTGCCTCGTCAACGAGCCTAACATCGTCACTGATTGCCGAATGTGCTGCCATTTTGTTCGCTTTTTCCACACTGCAGCCTCCTTTCTCCGGCATATCACATATGTAGAGGCACTCTGCTTCTAGCAGTATATTGGTTTTAGTTGCACAATGTCTGCTCACTATTTTTAAAAAGTTCAGATTTTAGAGGTGCAATATATGCGATTTTCTGACTTGTTACACTTTGATCACGTCAATTCACTTAGTCCTTTTAGTCCTTCACTTCACTTTACTTCACTTGGCCACCTTTACCACGACCAGGCACTGTTTTCTTTATCACTGTTCACACTTGGTACGAGCCATTTTCACTATTCACTTTCAAAGTCTGAATTTGTAATAATCGATCGCGCATCCCGCCACTTACTTATAAAGCATTCTTCTGGTGGAGGGTTGAAACGAGAGAGTTGCCGAAGCATGCTATTTCATTTCACGAGCGAGATGCACATATCATTCGGACTCACTCGTGTTTTGATGGTGTTTTGTATAAATACAAGCGATACAAAATGTGGATGGCATTCGTTCTTCGTGTCGTAAAGTGAAACAACATAGTGAAAGAAAATGACTGGTCGTGGTAAAGGTGGCAAAGGCTTGGGAAAGGGAGGCGCTAAGCGTCATCGCAAGGTTCTTCGTGATAACATCCAGGGTATCACGAAGCCCGCTATCCGCCGTTTAGCTCGTCGTGGCGGTGTAAAACGTATCTCGGGACTCATCTACGAGGAAACTCGTGGAGTGCTGAAAGTGTTTTTGGAAAACGTTATCCGTGATGCCGTCACCTACACCGAACATGCCAAGAGGAAGACAGTCACAGCCATGGATGTTGTGTATGCTCTGAAGAGACAAGGCCGCACGCTGTACGGTTTCGGCGGTTAAGAAAATCTGTATAGTCTGCAGTTCAAAAGTAACCATAAATTAAACAATCGGTCCTTTTCAGGACCACAAAATAATCTAGAAGAGAGACATATTTTCAAAATCATGAATCGTACTTGATAATAGTGAAGTAAAAGCAGAATAATGAAAGAAAAAATTGATTGTCGAGTCATTGACAATACGCAATTCCCATCTACTATGTACATACATATGTATGTGCGCTGCATATAGTGTTTTTCTTTCTTTCAGTCTAAAAGTTCAGCCATCTTTCCAAGATGGGAACTTTTTGATCGAAAGTATTCTCGTAGATAAACTTGGGTAGGTAGGTAAAATTTGGGTTCTTTCTTGGCAAGCAAACATTGAATTTCATCCGTTGTTCAGATGAGTCGGACGCAACTGTACTTTCTTTTAGGCCCTGTACCAAAAAAACACAAATATGTGCATTTTATTTCAACTGATAATAATGAATGATAATAAATTATGAAAATTCTCTTAATTCTTTTGACATAGTTTGGTCGTCCTGAAAAGGACGTTTTGGTTTATATATTGTACAAGAATGTAAATTGTTTTTGCTATTGGAACATTTATGCCTTCTTCTCGGTCTTCTTGGGCAGCAGAACGGCCTGGATGTTGGGCAACACACCACCCTGAGCAATGGTGACGCCTGAGAGCAGTTTGTTCAACTCCTCATCGTTGCGGATGGCCAGCTGCAGATGGCGAGGGATAATTCTCGTCTTCTTGTTATCACGGGCAGCATTGCCAGCCAACTCGAGAACTTCAGCGGCCAAGTATTCCATCACGGCAGCCAGGTAAACGGGAGCGCCGGCACCGACACGCTCGGCATAGTTGCCCTTGCGAAGTAGACGATGAATACGACCAACAGGGAACTGAAGACCAGCACGGTTCGACCGAGACTTTGCCTTTCCCTTCACTTTGCCACCTTTACCACGACCAGACATGTTAATAGATTCCTTTGCTTTTTCACTGTTCACACACGAATGTTGTCCAACGCCACAGAACGCCATATTTATACCTTTTCCGACTGCATGAGCGCTCAACCAAGGGGTGGGTTTTCGCCCGCTACGAAATGTATGTTAAACCTGAACAGACTACTCGAATAAAACTATAAGCTTCTGAGCCCAGTCCGTTCAAACACATTAAGTGTTTTACATAAAGTGAAGTGAAAAATGCCTCCCAAGACTAGTGGAAAGGCAGCCAAAAAGGCTGGAAAGGCTCAGAAGAACATCACCAAGAACGACAAGAAGAAGAAGCGCAAGAGGAAGGAGAGCTATGCCATCTATATTTACAAAGTTCTGAAGCAAGTCCATCCTGACACTGGTATTTCGTCGAAAGCGATGAGCATCATGAACAGCTTTGTAAATGACATCTTCGAGCGCATTGCTGCCGAGGCGTCTCGCTTGGCTCATTACAACAAGCGCTCAACCATCACCAGTCGGGAAATCCAAACGGCTGTGCGCCTGCTGCTGCCGGGAGAGCTGGCCAAGCACGCTGTTAGTGAGGGAACCAAGGCTGTCACCAAGTACACCAGCTCCAAGTAAATTGGTTTCGAACAAAACCCAAAAAGGCCCTTTTCAGGGCCACAAAATGTTCTTCCAAAGAAATTCCATTTTCAATATATAATTTCATCGATATGCAAGAAATATATGCACAATACAATAACAATTTTATTCAATTGCCGACCTCTGAGATACAGCGTCTGTGCGAACGGTTTTTCATACATATGTACGTATTTGATTCGGTTCGGGAAAAATGCATTCCGAATAACTCTTTGAATAACGTTTGAACTGGATGCTAAATATACAATATATCTGTAGCATACTCGTATGTATGCAAGACAAGGCTCGATAATTTGTATCTCTTTTGAATATAGTTTTGTAGCCCTGAAAAGGGCTTGTTTAAATCAATTTCAGACGGATACATCTAAAATTTCGAATGCGACCTTGTACACCAACGTGTACAGTTTCACACTTTACTTTTGGCCGCCGTCGTCTTGGCTTTCGGCTTCTTTACAGTGGCGGGAGCTGCTGGCTTCTTCGTTGTCTTCTTGGGCTTGACAGATGCCGCTGCAGCTACAGCCTTTGCTTTTGGCTTTGGCTTTGGTTTTGCTGGGCTCGACTTGGCCTTTGTCGCTGTTGGCTTCGCCTTCACGGTTCCAGTTTTCTTCGCATCCTTAGCCTTTGCCTTCTCAGTTTTCTTCTTCTCGGCGGTCTTCTTGGTGGCGACTGACTTCTTCACCTTTAGTTTCTTGTCACCGGCAGCGGCTGCTTTTTTAGGGCTTGCTGTCTTCTTGGTTGCCGCCGACGACGATGACGCCACCTTCTTACTTTTAACTTTCTTCTCGACAGATGCAACCTTTGGCTTAGGCTCCTTTTTGGCGGAAGCCGACAGCTTAAACGAACCAGATGCACCCTTTCCCTTTGTTTGGATCAGCTTTCCATTGGCAACGGCCGACTTCAAGTACTTCTTGATAAATGGGGCCAGTTTCTGGGCATCGCATTTGTATTCGGCAGTAATATATTTCTTGATTGCCAAAAGCGATGAGCCGCCACGTTCCTTCAAGCTCTTAATCGAAGCGTCAACCATTTGCTGAGTTGGGGGATGCGATGGTGGAGCTGTGGGCTTCTTTGCCTTTGCAGTAGCAGCAGCGGATCCAGATGCCTTTTTGGCGGCCACCTTCTTCTCCGCTGGTACTGGTGGAGCAGCCACTGGAGACGCGGATGTTGCAACTGCAGAATCAGACATTATTCTTTACAAAATTACACTTTTCAATGAAAAAACGCCGTTGTGGACCTGGGCTATGGTCCCTCGTTCGAATGAGAAGCGAGTAGAAGGGTAGTACGAAGATGATTTTAGCATTGGTGATTTGTTTGTTAGAAGTTTCATTGAACGTCTGGCTTATTTTTGCTTTTCTATATATAACTATTAAATAATTGAAATATATTTTCATTGATTCATATTGTTAAATATTTCAAATATTACTGTAAATCATTTATTTTGTGAATATCGTCCATTATCGATTTTTAATAATTGTGCAAACTTTGACAACTAGTTATCCAACTCTTATATTTTGGATTCAATGATATTAATAAATAACAATGCTGGCTCATTTTGATAAACTATTTTTTTAAACATAAAATTTGATTAATTTACTTTAAGAGACAATAAACATATATTCACATATCGTTTAGTATGGTATTTTAAAATCGTTTTGAAGATAACCCTATTAGGTACAAAAAGACCACTTTCTGGATATGTTCAACATTCAAATTAGGGGTCAAAAAATATAAATGCTTAAAAATATATTGTTTAAAACCATTTTTCTTAAGGAAATGAACACGATTTTCAATTTTATATTATTTCTGATCCATTTTTGCCAATATTTACCCATAAATAACATACTTTCTTACCCACATAGCACTACAAATTAAGTTCATCTCAAAGTAAAAATCGAAAAAATAAATTTTACGTAAATTTTATTGTCTATACCAATTTATACGAATCTTAAGAACATATTTCATTTACTTTTGTTGAAGATTTTCATATATTTTCATTTATAACGACCAATTATTGCATACTAGTATACCAGTAGTAGATTCGAAAAATATCAAATGCAATTTATTGGTCATTGGAAAAATCTAAAATTGCGTTAAAAGGGTTTGTATTCTATTCTAGTTCCACAGGTCTATCTGTTTGTTTCTGATAGGTTTATCACCTCGCAACAAAAATATATTTTTCTTTCCCAAATACATAGAAATTATATGTGTCGCCGCAATTTAACCCTACACAAATGTTGTCCGCCTTTTAGAATTCTTACAATCAGCAAAATTCTTGAATGAAAAACCAGAAGATGTCAAAACATTCGTCTAACTATACATTTAATACGGATCGTATACGGTATTCTCCCAATCCAATTCTGTTTTGTATCTAAACCAACGCTCTAGCACAAAGCAAAGACAAAATTACAAATATTTTATTTGGGAAAAATAGTACGAGTATGCAGAAATAAAAAATCTCATTGAAAATTATTTTGTGGTCCTGAAAAGGACCGATTTGTATGAAATTTATATGCGCCTGACGAAGAAATATCAACTTAAGCACGCTCGCCACGGATACGTCTGGCCAGTTGGATGTCCTTGGGCATGATTGTGACACGCTTGGCATGGATGGCGCACAAGTTGGTATCTTCGAAGAGACCGACCAGATAGGCTTCGCTAGCTTCCTGGAGTGCCATTACTGCCGAGCTCTGGAAACGCAAGTCAGTTTTGAAATCCTGAGCGATTTCACGAACCAAACGCTGGAAAGGCAGTTTGCGGATCAGCAGCTCGGTACTCTTCTGGTAGCGACGGATTTCACGGAGGGCAACAGTGCCGGGGCGATAGCGATGAGGTTTCTTCACGCCTCCGGTTGCTGGAGCACTTTTACGTGCGGCCTTGGTAGCCAGTTGTTTGCGCGGCGCCTTGCCACCAGTCGATTTACGAGCAGTCTGCTTGGTACGAGCCATTTTCACTATTCACTTTCAAAGTCTGAATTTGTAATAATCGATCGCGTTTTTTTTTTTTTTTTAGCGTTTATTTATTGTCATATTTCATATTACAGTAGCACAGCTTCTGCTTAGGTATATAGTGATACATGAGTGACAAGTTCAAGCTTACTTTATCTTATGTGTGTGTAATTTTACCCTGCGCTTTAAGCTTATCCGGGTGCTAGTCTTTTGGTTACTATTATATTAGAGATCTTATCTTTAGTTTAGGTTATGTTATAGTTAATATCTAGTGGTTTAGTGTTTTCCAGGGAAAAAATGGTTAAGTTAAAAACCTGGATAAAGTTTACTTTTGATTTGGTTTAGATCTTATGGGCTAATTTATGTGCTAAGCTTATTCTATTCTTATTTTACTGGGTAAGGGAGGGTGGAGTGGAGGGGAGTATTTACAGTATTTACAGTTGGTCGGGGGAGTGGCTTATTGACTGGTATTGAATACCAGACCGTCGGCGTGACTTAGAGATCGATGTCTTCTGTGGTGGAAGATGAGGTTTTCGTCTTCGTCATAGATAATGCCCATTTCCATTAGATGGGTTAAATGATGGGCGGTAAGGAACTCAGTGTGGTAGTTTGCGGGTATTTCCGTTTGTGTCGTATTATCTCTTTCGACCAGCTTCTCCAGTATTTGGAACATGAGTCTGTCTATCCTTGTTGTTTTTGTTAATTTATAAAGTCGCTTATTCGGTATGTAGTGGCCCGTCAATGAGTCTCTGCTTTGAGTGCCGATTGATTTGCGAAGTATTTTTCTTTCGAACCGGCGCAGCTCTTCCATCTCGATAGTCTTTATGTTCATCCACGCTACATAGCCGTACATAAGAACTGGTTGTATTAGTTTTTTGTAGGCTAGAGCGCAGATTCTGGTGATGTGATTGATGTTCCCTTGATTGGAGGATATTGGCTTGTATATGTGTTGGATCTTGTGGATCATTGCACATGCTTTCCTTCGGGCATTTGCTGTGTTTATCTTGAAGTTCAGCTTTTCGTCGTATACAACACCAAGGTACTTGAACTGCTTTTCGTATTTGATTGCCAGTCTATCGTAGATGAACAGACTGGGCTGGAATCTCCTCGCATTCCTGTACAGGTAGCCCAATCGTGGGCCCTTAAGGATTGAGCTGGTGCATTTGCTTGCGTTGAGTTTGAGATGCCATTTGGTGAAGTAGTGGCACAGTATGTTCAGGTACCCGTTTAGCTCTCTTTCAGCGATGGCCATTGAACCGGAAGATGCCAGTAGCAGGATATCATCGGCGTAGATTAGTGCTTTAATTTGTGTGGTTGAGCCGGTAGGGACTTGGTAATCGGGCATGTCTGCCAGGTAGATGTTGTAGAGGATGGGTGCCAGCAGTGAACCTTGTGGAACCCCTGCTGGGATCGACCTTATAAGGGACAGATCCGAGTCTTCTGGGCTGCTAACTTGAAATGAGCGGTTTGTTAAATAATTATGGACTATTTTTGTTATGTCTGGGGTGAAATTTAATTGGGTCATCTTGTAAATGAGTCCGCTGGTCCAGACTGTGTCAAAAGCCTTCTCAAAGTCCAGAGCACAGGCTATTGTAGCACGTTTGTGGGATAAATTCTCAAAGATGAAATCATTTGCTGCGATGAACGCATGGTTGGTTGATGATTTCGCTCTGAAGCCATACTGAGTATCTTTCAACGTGCTATGTGAGTCCATGTGCTTCTGTATTTGTTGCATTATTATTTTCTCCAGCAGCAGACTTATTGCAGATAGTAGAGCAATAGGCCTGTATGCTCGGAGGCTGTGCGGATTTAATCCAGGTTTGTGAATGGCGATGATTCTGCTGTTCTTCCATTCGGAAGGAAAGTATCCTAAGTTTAGGCAGTGGTTGAATAGTGTTGCTAAATGTTTTAGTATTGGCATATTGCAGTGTTTCATCAGAAAGTTGCTGGTGCCGTCCGGTCCCATGGTCTTCTTTGAGTTTTTTATTTTCAGTATTTCAAAGAGCTCTTCGGCGTTTGTGAATCCGCATTCATGGGACTCGGGCCAGTTACCATCTGCTGTTCTGGAAATATTGAATGTAGTTTTGTATGAGTTTAGTGTTGTGGATGTGGTTTGGGCTATTGTTTCATTAATGGCGATTGTGTGTGCCCTGAGGACAGGGTCTGAGTCGGTGATGTTTTCATTTTGGCTATGGACTCTTTCAAAGGACCACGCCAGGGCATTAATTTTGTGAAAAGTGGAAGTTATATTTTGGGAGGTGCTAAGGTTTAGGTCTATGTCTATTAGAGCTGCTTCCTCGTTGGTCAAATGTAGGTCATGAGCTAGTTGTTCTTTTGGTGGGGTGTTTGGATTGAGTGTTTGGAGTGATTTCTGGCTAATTTTACTTGGGTTAATTTTGCGTAGTTTTTGGTCTATTGTTTTCAGTTCTGCGATTTCTATGTGACAGTTTATTTGTATGTCCAATTCTTTTATAGTGTCTTTGATTTGGTTGCGTTGGTTGGGTGTAAGGGTGGATAGGCGGCGGAAAAGCATGCGTCTAAGTTTTCGTTTTTTTTTGATTAGGTTTAGGCAGTGGGTGCTAAGTCGGGTGAACGGATTGTTTGGGTTAGTCGGGTTTATGGTTATTTTTGGGATTGCCTCATCAGAGTCAAGGGCTTTGGCTATTGCATTTGTTAGAGTATGTACGTGGTTATCTATGTCAGCTGTGTTTAAGTTTTGGGTGTTTGGGATGTGTCTTAGGTTCTGTAGAATTATTGTGTTCCAGTGGATCGGGTCTATTTTATGAAAATTGTGTATCGATTTTGGTGGGTTGTAGTTTAGTCGGTTCCGTCCTAGATTTATGTTTATGGTTATTCCAAAGTGGTCTGATGGGAAGTCTTTGATGATTTTGCAGCCGTAGGTAAATGTTGAGTAGTCTATTGGGGTTGAGGATGATGTTAGGAAAAAATCTATTGAGGAGTCTCCTGTCTGGTTGGGACGTGTGGGTTCTTGGGTTGGGTGGAGAATTAGGAATGGTTGGTCTGCCAGCCACCGCTCTAAGCTAATTCCTGACGTGTTGATGTGTTCTGGACGGTACGTGGGCCTATTCCAGGCTGGGTGTTTCGCGTTCAAATCACATCCGATTACGAATTGCTCATGATCCTCTATTTGAGCTAGCGAGTGCATTAGAATGTCCAAGTCTGAGCTTAGTAAAGGATGCTGGGGGCGTAGGTAGAGTGAGATTGCAATTAATCCAGTTCTTATATTGCGTCTGTTTGTATAGGAAATCTGCACTGCCACAGCCTCGATGTATTGCATTTGGTCGATTTTCACTCGTTCGTAACTGAGTCCATTTCTCACGCAGATGGCTACTGCTGTTCCAGGGCTTCTTGTGCTGTTCTGCGTGGATTCTAAGCTTGCTACATGTTGCCTCACGAATTGGTAGTTGGTTAATCCGGCTGAGTGCGTACTTCTCAGGTTGTGCTCAGCGAGTAGCATCAGATCTGGCCTGTGTTTGTTTAGATGTTCGTTAAGTTCATTTCGCCTACGCCGTTGAACGATGCCATTGACGTTTTGGAACATGATTTTTACTGGCATTTAGTTGAGCGCGATTTGGATCAGGAAGTCCAGAATCAATTGCTGTTTTCCCTTTTTATCCGAGCTGGAGTTTGGGTATTTCTTAATTAGGGATTGCATGATGTCGAAGCAGGTAAGCAAATCTTTTCCAAATGCATCCACAGAGTCCCCGTTGAGTTGTTCAAATGAAAAACCGGCGTTTTCTTCTGCGGTGTTTGCCTGTTTCTTTTCTTGGCGTGCTCTCGGGTTTTCCTTCACTTGTGTAGGTATCGGCTTGCTTTTGGCTGCTGAGGCGTAGCTTCGTCCCTTTTCAATTCGGCTTTGTAGCTGGACAGTTGCAGCTGCAGTTGCGATGGACTTGTTTGTTTTTTTTTGGGTGTGGTTTCGCCTTTCGGTCATTTTTTTGATGTACTCAATTCGTACTGGGCAGATTTTAGCATTGGCCGTATGATTTCCAGAGCAGTTCACGCATTGGGTTTTTTGTGTTGTATCTTCTTGGCCGTCTTCCTTTTTCTTTAAGGTGCATTGCCCTGGAGCATGTGTTTTTGTGCATTTGACACAGCGGAATGCCATTTTGCAGTTGCTGGCAACATGGCAGAACCGTTGGCAATTGTGACATTGCTTAATTGCGTTTGGGTGCGGCTTGAAACCCTCGATGTTAATTCGGCAGTTGAGGAGTGTTGTTACTTTAAATATTTCGTTTATTTTTTCAGTTTTCTCCACTTGAACCATCCACATCTTTTCCTTGTAAGGCTTTACTGACAGGATGTTTAGCTCAGGCACGGCCTCAACTAGTGCTGTCTTGACCTCATCAGAATCGTACACTTCAAGTGGTAGTTTCCTTAAGATCACTGTGTGTGGCTTAACTTGCTTAGGCGTGAAGCTATAGTACAACACTTTGTTTTTGTTCAACAACTCTTTGGTTAGGTTGAAATCTGCCAATGTGAAGACCTTTACATGTATCACGTTTTTGTTTAGGATGTTGAGAGTGAATTTCTTTGATGATTCCTTCAGGAGTGTTGTTAGGGCTTTGGCGTTTTGCTGGTACGTTACTATGACCGGTAGACCTTTTTCGTTATTGCCATTTTTGGTGGGTATCACGGTCTTTTTCGGTATACTTATTGGCTTAGCTGGTGATTTGGTTGTGGGCAGTTTAGGAAATTCCTTATTTTGCACATCCTCCGGTATGGTTTGTTGGGGTTTTGTGTTGGGAATTGGTTTGCTTGCACTAGCTTTTTTTGATTTTTTGGGTGTAGTCGGTGCACCTTCACTTTCCTTCACATCCTCAGGTTTCGTTTTTTTGGGTTTTGGTGTTGTTTTTGGCGTCGCGTTTACGGCTTCGATATATTTTTTGTATTTAATATGCTCAGCACGTAGAAAATTGAGTTCTTCCATGATAGAATCCATCTCATCGCGGTCCATTATAACGGTATCTTGTTCCGTATCGCAATCACTT